GAGGCAAACTATAATTTCTGGGAGGTAAATTATGATGCAGACCTTGTCGACACTTGTGGTAGAGTTCCTTGTGAAAAAAGAATCAGTATTCTCAATCGGTAATTAGTAATAGAAACATAGGACATCAATGAATCTGCAATATTAATGCATGACAAGCATCAGTAATGTCTCAAGTCAAATATGCAAAGTTAGAAAAAGCAGGAAGCAGGACTTCATGAAACACTTTGGCGTATAAACGCAATTCAAAGGGGTAATTAGTTTCATTAGAAACCTGAAAGCATAGTGCCAACAGCATTCCATTCAAATAACACAAAGATTAAAGCCTCGTTACTGTAACCGCTGAATCTAAAGACAAGGCCAAAAAGGGATTGCTTTTAAATCTAAAGGGGTCGATTTGTCCAGGGATGTATCATTGCAATGTAATTTTTCTTAAATAGGTTTACAGAAATGCATATTAGTTTTAGAACATCAAAACTACGAGATTGCAAACAGGAGTACAAGTTTAACGCTCACCTGAGACTATTGAAGATTCTGAGTGGCAGTGATGGCCTGCCAGTTATCAAAACAAATAAGAATGCTGTACTATGTGCATGAATAAGACTAATCAAATATTCAACGACCCTTCAGCTTAGTAATTGCATATTTGGATGGCCGGGAAGAGGCGTAGTAGGTTTAGTCAACGGTCTCAAAGATTCCATGATACTGGCAAATGAAGGTCGCTTCCACGGCTCACTGCAGTACAAGATGATTTGTTTTAAGAAATATGATTACACAGAAACAAACTTTTCAAGAGATTCAATAACTAACTCAATATAATTGCAGGCTTAAAACTTACTTGGCCCAGCATGCCTCAATTAAGGAAGCAACTTGAGAATTCAAATCACGCGGAATCTCAAGCCTTTTGTTCCTAAAACCAACAGCTGCCACAACCTATAAAACAGGATATATAAATCAAAAGAAATGAGCTCACACAAAAGTCAAACCATATGGGAGAGGATACTAAAATTAATTGCCCAGCACACAATCTACAATACTCTACTGCCTTCTAAACAGCTCCTCAGATCACAAGTACAACCTGCCTAATCCCAAAACTTCACAATCATCAGTTTTATATATGCTCCCTTGGAAGTCTAAAAGACCAAAAAGTATACAAACAGGACAAACGGTGTTGTGCATGTATTGTATGTCCACTTCTTATATTTTTAGTAACGGACCTGTGCTGGATTTAAATTACTCCATGGCTGTTGCAGCGTGGCAAGTTCCCACAATATTACACCAAAGCTGTAAACGTCTGATTTCTCATTTGATGGCTCATCACGGAGAACTTCTGGTGCCATCCACTCTGGCTATTAGATGAGAAAGAAAAAAAAAATTATAAATTTTAGGTAACAAAGTCCCTAAACCACCTTAGACTGGAGACCTGAAAAATCTAGAGTCCTGTTTAAGAGAACATACAGTCCCAGCGGCCGACTTTGATGAAAGAAATGTATTCGCCTTTAGACGTGAAAGACCAAAATCGCAAACCTAAAAGAATAGACATATTGTGACGAGAGAACATGACCAAAATATAGTTAAGAAAATGACCAACATCAGCAAATATCAGTTCAAATAAATACATTCACTAGGCACATAAGCATTTTTAAAAATCATTAATATCAAATCACCCCCCACACGGGGGATGTTGCATGTAAAATATCACCATCCCTACCTTCACAGTATATTTCTTATCAACAAGAAGATTTGGAGATTTTAGATCTCGGTGAACTATAGGGGGATTACGTCTATGAAGATAATTCATTCCCTTTGCCTGTGGGAGAAAAAAAGAAAGAAAGAGAAACCATTTAGCTCCAAATGATTTTCTCCCAAAAAAGAAAAAAAAA